TGGAGATGTAAGGGCTATGCATCCCCAGCTGTTGGTTCTTTCTCTATATTCCTGCATGGGCGGAGTCAGCACTTCTGGGGAAATATTTGCTTCTACTTAACGGGATTGTAGCCTTGGAATGTCACCATCCATTTCACTATGTTGGTCTTCCATATACCTAAAATCTTTTCTATTGATGAAGTTTTCATTATTTTTCAAAACCAACTCTATTGTATAATTTATATGCAATAAGTAGGACATGTTTAAAGCAGGTAAATTGACAAGTTTCAGCATATGTGTCATACCATCAAACTAGCTGAACAATCAAGAGATTGAAATTCTCTGACTCCCAAACCATCTCTGGGATGCTTTTTGGCAACCTCTCCCTACAAATGACACAAATCAGCTTGGACTAAGGGTCAGGCTGTGTGTGTGTGTGTGTGTGTGTGTGTGTGTGTGTGTGTGTATGTATCTGTTTGTATGTGTGTATATATATTTATATGTGTTCCTGTGTGTATATATGTGGTTATGTGTCTATATGTTTAAGTACTGTATGTCTTGTGAGTGTTTATGTATGTGTGTATATTGTGTGTCAGTGTGTGTGTTTCTGTGTGTCTGTGAGTGAGAGTATATGCCATGTGTGTGACTGCCTATAGATACCAGAAGAAAATGTCGGATCCCATGGAACTGCTTAATATGGATGATGGGAACTGCACTCAGTTTCTATGGAAGAACAGCAAATGTTCTTAACTACTGAGTCATTTTCCAGCCCTCCAAAAGTTTTAATAATTTATTTTTTTATAACTTGTGGGTCTGACTACTCAGACCCTCTCTGGACTTTGAAGGTTTCATATTTTGTAGTGTCTATTGTTTTAAGATGATATATTTGATGGCAAAATATTATTCCTGATAATTTTATTATTATAAAGTTACAATATGTTTATTATATATTAAATATATAATAATAGAATTAATATAACATGGATAGTGATATATAATAAATCATAATATATAATTCATAATATAAAATTATAAGAATTATATTGTATTATGTATATATAATATATTACACAGTAATGTAAAATTAATATATAATATAAATAATATAAAGCTGCTTTATTCTGTTACTATTTTGAGTTCAGTTCTTTTATTCCTGATACTGGTCATTTATGTCTTCTCTCACTTTTTTCTGTATATTAGTCTCCAGTGTCTATTGTAACAAATGCCCCAAAAGTTGGTAGCTTAAAAAATGTATCACAACCCTCCAGTGACTGGTGTCAAGGAATTGAAGTCAAGTTAGAGATTCAGGACCAGGGTGCTCTAGGCAATGCTGCTCCAGAGTGAGTGCTTTACTGGCATTCTGAGAAGCTTTTATTTCAAGACAGCTCAGGGATCAAAACTGTGACAGAGAAACAATGAAAAACAGAGTATTTATCACTATCACCTAATATGCTCAGTATACACAAGATCTCAAGGCTAAATGAGAGCTGTTATATAACACCCTGAGCTCACTAAGTTTCATTTCTTAGGAGAGGGGAGGAAACATTTCATCCATGGCATTCCTTGGGTGGGTAGAGTCCTTCCTCCCAAGGGAGTAAGTGAATGCTAACGGAATAGGGTCCATACAGTGGAATACTGTAGGAGAATCTATTATATGCAGACTACAAAAGGTGAAATTCTGAGCTCTCAAGGTGGCTCACTGGGTAAAGGCCTGACACCTGGTTTGAGTGTGACAACTTGAATTCAGTCTCCAAAGGTAGAAGTAGAGAACCAACTATGCCGATAGTTCTCTGACCTCCACATACATGCTGTGTCATACATGTCTACACATATGCACAAACATGCATGCATGCACGCATAAAAATCAGAAGTTATTTTCAGAAGTAAAAATATGTACTTGTTGTCTGGTGAAAACAAGTTGAAACAGCTTTATTTGATTGAAATGAAGACATTGTTAGTCCTGTTCTCCCTCCACAGGCTGTAGGAGGCAATCTGTTCCTTGATTTTCCCACTTTGCTGGTATCCAGTGTTTTATAGCCTAATTCTAGGTCAGTATTGTCCCTGTCATTTTCCCTGTCTTGAACATTGCACTTTCTATTAGGCTTCACTGCAGACAGACCAGGTAATCTAGTGTAATCTCATCTTGAACCAATCCCCATGTATTCTTTGGCCATTTGAGGGCAGAGCAAAGGACCAGGATTTCAAGGAGATTCTCATTTGGCCCCATAGTCTAGCTTGATGAACTCAGATTTATTCATCTTTCCATGAAACAGCTTCTGGTCTCACTGGCTCATTTCAGCTGTATTCCTCTTTGATATTTCATGGACTTTGCACTTGTTTTCAGCATGTGTTTCCTTTGTCTTTTTGTTTGTTGCTTTCTTAAGGTTGAAGCTAAGATTTTTAGCTGCATTCTACAAATTTGACATGCTGTGTTTCATAGACTTTGACATTCTTTGCATTGCCCCTTGGTTGTTAGAATTACCGGAGAGCTTCGGCTTTAGGAGCTGTGCTCTAGGTGCCTTTTGGTTGATTTCTGAATGTCATGATGGTCAAAGAACATTTTCAGGGTGATTTCCAACTTGAATACTTTTAAATTAATTGGGTTTAGTTTTAGAGATCTGTTTCAAGCCGTTAAAGCATGACTTTATTTTCCTGAAGACTGTGTACTTTTCTGGTTCACCTATCAGGTTTTGGAGAGCTGCAGCTGTATGCAAGAGGGCATAGTAAAGAACCCATTGAAATTTCTGCTCCATTGGGGGAAGGTTTTCATTGTGGATAAGAAAGTGAAAATATCCAGAGGCATATGAAACTGTCCAGAGCAGAGAGAAAAATAAACAAATGAAAGAACATACTAAACATGGCCAAGACTATCTGTGAGAGAAGTGGGGAGGGTAGTGGAGATAGTGAGAAATAGAGACTAGTGTGGGGCAGCCAGTGGGTATAAAGAGTAGGAATCCGAGCTGAGAAAGGCCAGGAGGCTCTATCATTAAACAAATGTGGTGTAAACAAATATAACACATCTTTACATCGTTAAAGCAATATTTTACAACATGTACTAGCCCACACCCTTATATTAAGGCAAGGCCAACTTTGGTCCTAATTCTTTATAATTTTCTCCCATGACATTACCTGACCATCAGTTCATGATACAATGTAATAGTGGAAATAGTTCCAGCATTTTGAATACTGTTGAACAAGGAAAAAGGTAGTTTTTGACCTATCGAAAGCCAAGACAAGTATAGTTTGATTTGGTTATCATTTCAAATTCATTCCCAATACACAGGGTAAGTGAATTTTATACAAATGTTTTGACTTTAGGGGAAATCTGGCTGTTTATATAGTGCTGTGTGCATCGCTTCTTTTTACAGTTACTTTAGAAATATTTGTATTTGCACAGAAGCCCACCTTCCTTCAAGTAAGTGATCCATATATATTCCAACACTGTCGCAGTAGACAGTGTTTCACACAGCCTCTCTGATACAGTTGGTTGTCCTATAGCTTGAGTGAATCTAAGTCAACTTTATGTATGGCATACACTCAGCCTACTTTTTAAATAAGTTGTCATTTTATTGAGCTCTTTAGTGACCGTCAATGCCCCTCTAGACTGATTTGTAATGTCTTGCCATTGCAGAAACATTTTCAGTAGGTCAAGCTTTGTGATTTTAATCATACTCTTGAAGAGTCAGAGCAGTCTTAGCCCTATAGCATTCAGTTCTAATTAATGCTCTGGCTGATGACCTCATGTTATCATTTATTATTGAGAGAGTACACACATTCTTTATCATTTCAGCAAACTAAATATGTGGCTCTCAGGAGATTCCTGAAACTGAGATTTACTTGGATTTTAATTCCCTTGGCTTAGTTTAGGATTTGGTGATGAAGCAGGAACATTGGGGAAGTGCTTTAATTAGGCAGTTGCCATCCTGGGAATCACAGGCCATTTCCTCTAACAGCAAAGATGGCTTGGATCCTAGGAGGAGTTTCTAGCCCAGCAAGGATACCATATACAATACTTGTTAGTGTTTTGTGCGTACTCTGTGGCAAACCCGTCTGGGAGTAGAAGCCATGACACAGGCCAGTTACACTACTAGAGACCTCAGTGATTTAGATAGCACAGCAGGACTGATCTAAGCTTTTCAAAATCCCATTTATATTTTATTACATTTATGAGTGTATATTGTATGTGTGTGTATGTTTGTGTGTGTGTGTGTGTGTGTGTGTGTGTGTGTGTGTGTGTGTGTACATGTGTGCCTACTTGTGCATGACATAGTGGAGGTCAGAGGGTAACTTACAGGTATTATTTCTTTCCTTTTGTCATGTGGGTCCCCAGGATGGAACTTAGGTCCTCAGGCTTGGTGACAAGTGCCTTTACCAGTTAAGGCATCTGTTTATATTTTAATTTAACTAGCCTCTGTTTATATTTTAAAATGATCATTTAATGCCTCCTCAGGACCAACTCAGTTTTAAATATTTCCATACATGCATATATTTATGTGCAATAGACATTATTTTTCTTTTATTGCATTTTGATAATCCTCAGTGTTGCCATAACCAGAATTGGTATCAAGCCTAAATTTCTTGAGGTCAATAGAATAGAGTGGGATGAATTCTGTTCCTATTTGTTTGGAATAAATGCTATTTCATGTGGTTGTTTTTGCCAGTTACTTTGTTAATGGTCCCACATGGGTGCATTTTAAGTCATATTTAATTGTTGAGAAAGTAGAAAGGCAAAAGGCATAATTAATAATTGCAATTAGAAAGAATTCAAGGAAGAATAATGTGTGACAGATTTGATTCTATGAGTCTGAATAGGACCCATGACATGCTGCTACCATCAGAATTCTCTGCTGTTACTTTGGAAATCACAACTATGAAATACTGTTGGTTTTAGAAGTAATACATTGTTGCCAAATTTCCTTAAAAGTTGTGTTTCAAAATGCCCAATGGTGTTAATTTCACAGAGATTTGCAATAAAATCTAAAAGTATTGACCGGGTCTTTCTTTCTTTCTTTTGTAAAAAGCGGCTGGACCTGTAATCTGCAGAATGCTGAGTTATCCCCCTACTCGCCGAGCATTAGTTGTGGGATGTGGTTTGCAGATGTTCCAGCAGCTTTCGGGCATCAACACCATCATGTACGTATTCTGGTTGGCTTTCTCTTGAAAAGTGTGTGAAGGGAGTGTTTCACAGGGAAGGCAAGGGGGAGTTCTCAGTAGTTTGTCACTATTAAATGCAGAGGAATTTCCTCTGGGTATATTTTATGGTGATTGTTAAATACCCACCACTTGGAACCTAGAGGTAGTTTTGTGTTTGGCATATTATTGATACTATATGTTGCATACAAATTGTAATTATGCCACTGATACTTTTGTATAATCCAAGCTAACGTCATTTTGAACTTCATTTATTATACAGAGTCACACAGAACATTGTTGTGTAATGATTAAATGATTTTGGAACACATTCTTTCCCCATAGCCACTACATTCCTCTCTTGACTGTATTCCCCTTGGTTCCCAGACAACTCTGTGCCTACTTTCCTATCATCTCTATATATTTGATTTTATGTACAATTTTATATGTAATCTAGGACTCTCAAATGGGAAAATAATGTGATATCTGTCTATCTGAGACTAAGTTAATTCATTTAATATGATAATCTCTGGTTGTATCCATTTTCCTGCAAACTACATAATCTCATTATTCTTATGGCCCAGCAAATTCCATTGTGTACATAAATGGTGTTTACTTTATCCATTCCTCTGCTGATGGACTTCTGGAATGGTTTCTTAGCTTAGCTGTTATGCACAGTCATAGTGCAGTGCTATGAACTATCTTTGTGGTGTATTGACTTACAGTGTGGGGGGAGTGGTATAGTTGGGTCATATTGTAGATTTCAGAGAATCCTCTGTGCTGACATCCATGGCATTTCTCCCAGTAATACACAAGGGTTTTCTTGTCCTCATCCTCATGAGCTCTTTTGTTTCCTTGATGACTGTCATTCCTATTGTAATGTAAAGAAATGCATTTCCCTGGCTTAGTGAGGTTAGCTTCTTATCGTGTGTATTTTACATTTTGAGACTTTCTGTTCATTTCAGTCTTTCACTTAATGATTTCGTTGTTCATTTTTTTGTTTATGTTTTTTTCCCATTGTATTGCTAGATGCCAGACCTTAGACAGGTATACAACTAGTGACGCTTCTCTCCAATTCTGTATGTTCTCTGCACCTAACTCAGTTTCCTTTGCTGGAAGCTTTTTACCATCATTGGGTCCCATTTGTCTGCTGTAGGTCTTCCTTTTTGAGCAATTGGTATCTGGGGTAATATTGGCTTTGTAGAAGGAGTTTAGTAGTGTTCTCCTGTTTCATAGAATAAATAGCTTTAGAAGCATTGTTGTCAGTTCTTCTTTGAAGCCATGGTTGAATTTAGCAGCATGCATTTTTCATTGATAGATTATTCTTAGTCTTCAGTCTTGTTACTTTTAGACCTGCTTGACTTGTTTCTGTTCTGTTCATTTAATTTTGCTACATCTAGAAGCTCACCTTTTCAATTTTCCAATTTAATGAAAATTAGAATGAAATATTAGCTTTGAAAATACATCCTAATGACTTTCTGACTCTCATAGGATCTGCGGTAATGTCTATCTTTAGAGTCCTTACTTTGCAGATTTAGGTTTTCTGATTCTTTCCATCATTTGACTAAGTATTATTGGCCTTGTTTATCTTTTCAAATCATTTTCCTCATTGATTCATGTATTATGTTTATTTTTTCCAGTTCACTAATTTCTGTCCTAATGTTGATTATTTCTTTCTATCACCTAATTTGGGTTTTGGTTTGTTCTTGTTTCCCTAAGTTTCCCTAAGTTCAGAGGGTATATAGATAAGCAATTTATTTAAGATCTCTGATGTTTTTAATGCAGGCACTTGTAGCTATGAACTTCCATCTTGTCACTGCTCTTATTTTATCCCGAAAGCTTTGGAATATTGTGTTTTCGTTTTTTACTCAACTTTAGGAATCTTACAGTTTCTCTATTTTCCTCACCCATGGTTCACTAGTAGTTTTCACTCTTCAAGTTTGTATGTATTCTGGTGTTTCTTATGTTCATTTCTAGCTTTATTCTACCACAATATCAGGTAAAATATAAGAAACTATTTCAATTTTTCTATGTATCTTAAGATATCCTATGTCTGCTATGATGTGTCCATTTTGAAATTTTTATTTCGTGTGTATAGGTGCTTTGCCTGTATGTATGCCTTTGCACTACTTACACGCCTGGTACCCTCAGAGGCTGGAAGCATGTGCTGAATGCCCTGAAACTACTTTTACAGGTGTTTATGAGCTACCGTTTGGGTGCTGGGAATCAAACCTGAGTCCTCAGAAGATCACCTCAATCTTCTTAACTGCTAAGTCATCCCTGAAACTGCTAGGTAGACCCTCTATGCAAATGGCACATTATCCAGTTTTAAAACAACAGCCTCTTTAACAATAATAAGTCTTTCAAGATTTAAAAAAAAAAGGATAATAGGGTGTACGCTAGAATATTAGTCACAGAGATTGAGCGGAAGGAAAGTAGGTGTGTATTAGATCAACTGAGAAAGTCAGGGAGGGAAAATAGCTGGGAGGGGCAGGCTGGGATACTGTCTGCAGTCACAGATTTTAGAGCAAGAAGTAAAAGCAAAAGACCAAAAGGAGAAAAATGAAAGATCTAGGAACAAGAGGGGGGAATATATGAATTGTGTGTTAAGGATATTAGGTAGTACACAATTAATAAACTGGGTGGAGACACATCAGAACTGTGAAACATAGCCAACCACAGCTGTGTAACACTGTAAGGGATTTTGGGAAAGAGCTTGCATCCATCTTCTTAGGGCTGTGCATTATCATGCAATATAAAGTCATTAATAAAGGAGATTTTTAGCACCATGATATAAAGAAGAGATCATCCTAGAAGTTTTTCTTCCAGGTACTTACTAAAGTTAATCACTGGAAGCCTAAGGATTTTATACAGTAAAATATAATCAAACTATTTCTATTTGAGACTAATGATATTATCCTTCAAAATTGCTTAATATGGTTAAATATTTAGTAATAATCTGAGAAGAGTGTAATGGTTAAAATAATACTCAATAATAAAGATTAGTGGGGCTACAAGAATTTAAGGCTCAGTGGGTAGAGGCGTTTACTAAGCAAACATGGTAATAAGAGTTTGAGGTCAGGAACCTGTGTACAGGCAGAAATAGAAAGTCATCTCCACCTTGTTGTGATAAGGAACAAGATCGAACATAGGATAGGTTATTAACTGGTAATTTATTAAGAAGGTTACTCACACGAGCCAAAAACCAGATTTGGCACCCCAAGAAGTCCAGTCCCAGATGCCTCCAAGACCTGGTCTGAACTCCAATGGAGGAGGAGCTTCTCCTCTCCTCACTGTTTATCCTACCCCTCTATGGACCTGTGACCATGATCAAACAGGCATGGTCAGCTGTCCTGACCTGCAGAATATCAACCTGGGGCAAGAGAGTCAGGGATAGGGAATGGTGAAAGAAACAAAGAAAGAATGACCACAAGACAGGATTCTGATCAAGTGGCAAACTTTACTTTTCTCAGGCTAGCTTATATAGTCAGGATATGGGGAGGGGTTGTTTGCGCACCAGGTGTTGGTATAGGCAGGATATTAAGAAGCCACAAAGAGGATGTTTGGCAGGATAAGGAGTTCATGAGTAAGAGGTCCAGGAAGGGTTGCTTAGGTGACTGAGCCTGTGGGTGGAGGACTGGGTCAAGTTGTTTCTTTTCTTGAGCTGAGGTTCTAAGGAGCTGCTATGTAAAGGTTAACTATGTGGCCTGCCAAGCATGGCCTAGGATCTCATGCCCAGCCCTGAGATTTGGTCCCCAACAGTCAGGGATACAGGTATCCAGAGTTTCTCCCTACAATGTTGTTTATTCACAGTCTGCACATTGGGATACATGTGCCCTCCCACCAAGATACCCCACACACACACACACTTTTTAATCTAAAACATTTAAAGCAAACATTAGGATCCAGGGTCCTAGTACACTGCAACCTCGTTCTTTAATGAATTTAACATTAACCTCTCACAGTTTCATGCCATCAGACTGTAACCTTATTGCCTATGTTTTTGGTATTCCCTTCTTCCAACATTATCTTGTTTTTTCTTGCCTTTATTGACCCTCTGAAGGCCCATACATGCCTCATGTCTGGGTTTGTTCTGTATTTATTCTAACTTGCTCTAATTCTGTGGCACTTCTTTCTTTCTCGATGATAGCATGGAATTGCCTCAAAGCAAGCACCAAACTTCCAAATAATGCAGAGGCAGTGACAGCCCTGTATGAATATGCTGGGTGATTCCATCACCACAATATAGTCTCTATTTCTATAAATATATCCATTCATTAAACTTGACAAGTTTAACAGCACAGAAAACAAAGGAATGTGTTCTATTTTTTTTTTTTTTTAGTTCTTTTAAATAAAAATCACAGGGCCATTTCTAATTCATGGTTTGTAGCTAATGCCAGTGTGCTTCTAAATGCTAGATGACATGGCTGTCATCATCCGATTGCAATAGCAAATTGTGCTGCCCATGGTTTTCTGTCTTTAATTAAGTATTCATGTTTCTAAGTCCTCCATCTTTCCTTAGAGATCAAGGGATATTACTGTCCTGGTACTCCTTATGATTTATGACTGCCATTGGTCTGCTTCGTTTACCACCAACTATACACGATAAAAGGTACCATATGCCACCGAACACATTTGAGCCTTAATCCTGAAAAATAGGAATAATAAAGGAAATGATGGTTGAAGATAGACCATGTCTTCTAGGTGTAAAGCAGCTACTGAGCTTTTCAAAGATGCTAATAAGATGTCTGTATCTAGCAGCTAGAGATTTGGACCTGAAGACAATATGATAGAACAAGTAATTGGTGATTACCTCTGTACTTCCAACACTCCTGTTCAGAGCCAATGCCACTTGTAAATCAGTGCAGTGATGACCACAGCACAGCTTGTCCTCAGTGATAAGTTGGGGACTCTCATGCCGTGTGCTTTCTACTACCCTTTCTAACCTCAGTATGTGTGTATGTGTGTCGGTATATGTATGGAGGGAGCTTGGATGTGTGCTT